TCGGAGGGCCGGAGAATCTTTGGGATCCTCTCGGCTATGTCTTAGATGTGGGCCCTTGGGAAGTAGCAGACCTCCCAGGCTAGGGGGTCTGGGTGGCAGACTGCCCCCAGTCCCCCGTCAGGAGGGAGTCTCCCATGATGAGCACTGTGTTGTGTCTTGGAGAGAGTGGGGGTGGGTGATCCTCCCTTGCCTGCCAGAGCTGGCAGATCTGACAGCTTTACTGGGGCTGCAAGAGGTTTGTACCTGTTGCAAAGCCCCAGAGGGAAGGAGACCTTGGCGTGGTGGGCCTTGGGGCCCTTGACAACCTTGGTCCAACCCCCTGGCTGGACAGCATGGGAGATCCCCGAGTCCTCCCTTGCTCTGGAGGGTGACCTTGGTCTACCCTCTGCCTCTAGGGGATGAAGGGCCTGGCAGTAGAAGGAGATCTCCTGCTTGCCATCCTTGATGGCACGCAGTCTCTGGACTGCAGCCTGGAGCTCCACTATCTGGTGCCCCAGGGACTCCAAAGTGGAGCAAACCTTGCAAGGGGAGGTGGCCATGCTCCTGGTGCCATAAGCCTGGAAACATGCCAGGCAGCCCCCACAGCCGAGAGCCAGGGGTTTCGTCTGCGTGGAGCCTAGAATCGTGGGTTCCATCTGGGTGGAGGCCTCTGAGGTGACAGAGGTGGGGCTGCAGACTCCGAGGGGACCCTCAGGGTACAGCATGTGCCCAGCCACATTTTACCAGTGGTAGTCTGGCTACTACTGTGACTACCTACCCTAGGGGCTCACAGGAGGGGCCTCAGACCCTCCTGCACAAACTCCTGTGCTAACTCGCATGCCAGGCAGACAAGAGTGCCTGTTTGCACGGCTCTGGTCATGTGGCTCCCTGGGGGCTGGGCAAAGTAGGAGACTGGGGGGCTGTCCCTCCTTGGCTCAGACTCAAGCCGCCCCACAGCTGTCTGGGTTGGGGGCCCCACCTACCTCTGGCTGCGCTGGGGGTCCAGGTTGGGGTCCTGCTGGGCGGGTCATGGGGGTCCCTGGGCTTGATGGGGGCTCAACAGGCTTCCACCTGTGCATCTCATGCTGGAGCCAGGGACAAACTGCAGCTATGCTGTCAGTGGGCCCTTTTTAAACTGAGCGCATGCATAGAAGGGCTCGCCAGTGCCATGCCACTTCAGGGGCTGGGAGGTCCTTGCCCCTCAGAAGAAGGGGACAGGTGAGTGTGCCCCCTTCCCCTATCTCACATGCTGGGCACACGGCTCCGGGGGCTCCTATAAGTCAATAGAACTGGAGTGCTGAAGGAGATGGCTGAGGTCATCATGGAACCCCTGGCAAAGCTTTTAGAATTCATGGTGCACAGGGGAAATCCCTGAGGATTGGAGGAGGGCCAACATTATGCCCACCTTCAAGAGGGGAAAGAGGGAGGACCTAGGCAACCACAGGCCAATCAGCCTAACCTCTATCCCAGGAAAAATCCTGGAAAAGCTCATTAAAGAATCTATGTGCAATATTCTCACAGAAGGTACGATTCTGAACGACAGCCAGCATAGCTTTGTCGTGGGTAGGTTCTGTTTTTCCAATCTCATCTCCTATGACCAGGTCCCTCATCACCTGGACACAAGAGACGTGATAGACGTTATATACCTAGACTCCCAAAAGGCTTTTGATCTAATATCCCACAATATCCTTGTGGGAAAACTGGAAGATTGTGGGCTCAGCTGCTCAACAGTTTAGTGGGTGGGAAACCGGCTACAGGGCAGGACCCAGAGAGTTCTCATGAACAGATTTGTGTCATCCTGGCATGAAGTGGCCAGTGGTGTCCTTCAGGGGTCCATGCTTGGACCAGTGCTTTTCAACATCTTTATCAATAATTTGGATGGGGGAGTGAAAAGCTCGCTGGCCAAGTTTGCAGATGACACCACGTTATGGGTAGTGTAGTCATACTACAGGTAGGTTGCAGGTACAGGCTGACCTGGATAGGCTTGAGAGCTGGGCAGACAAGAACCAGATGACGTTTAACACTTCGAAGTGTAAGGTGCTCTATCTGGGGGCAAACAACCCTCAACACACATATAGGCTCAGTGGTAACAGCTTGACTGGCACCATGGCTGAAAGGGACCTAGGGGTAATGATTGACCATCACATGAATATGAGACGTCAGTGCGAGGTGGTGGTCAGCAGGACAGACAACACCCTGGCGTGCATCAACAGATGCATCTCACGTAAAACTAAGGAAGTGATACTCCCGCTGTACTTAGCACTGGTGAGACTGCAGTTGGAGTACTGCATCCAGTTCTGGGCTCTGCACTTCAATAAGGACATGAAAAAACTTGAGAGGGTCCAGAAAAGAGCCACCCATAAGATTGATCAGGGACTTGCAAGGCAAGCCATACAAGGAAAGGCTGAGGGACCTGGGCCTCTTTAGCCTAAAGAAGAGAAGGTTGAGAGGGGACTTAAGTGCAGCTTACTGCTATATCAGAGGAGTACATCAGGAGCTCAGTGAACAACTGTTTGCTAGGACACCTCCAGGGAATACCAGGACAAATGGATACAAACTCCTGGAAGGCCGCTTCAGGTTTAATACCAGGAAAAACTCCTTCACAGTCAGAGTGTCCAGACTGTGGAATAAACTCCCTCCAGAGGTGGTGCAGTCACCAACCCTGGAGGTTTTCAAGAGGAGACAGACGAGACAGTCACCTTGCTGGGGTCACCTAACCTCAGCTGTCTTCCTGCCTAGAGCTGGGGGGCTGTACGCAATGATCTGCAAGGTCCCTTCCAGCCCCTAGCAATCTGTGAATATTAATGAATGTAGTTGAACTTTAATTTCTGGATGCTGGGATACAATGAACAGCTACAGCCTTCAGATTATTGCACCTGTTCAGATAGAATTTAAACAAATGTGGAGAGCTTCATTTGATAGTTTAATGTTTTTACTTAGCAAATAATGGTGTTACAGCATTACAAATTGTACTGGTGCATAACTATACTGCTTTATTCTCTTAAAAAATGAAATACCAATTAGCAAAGGTGATCTTGGCTGTATTGAAATGAGACCAGTATTTCACCAAGCATACCAAGTTGACTTATAATAAGGCTCAGAAAAATCAACTGAAAGAGTAGATCCTTATTGAAAATATACTGGCTTCATAGAATTTGTGTTGTTTTTTCAGTTTGTTTCATTTCCATCTACTCAGTATAATACTCTTGATGAAGTTTTAGTTAAGACAGGGGTTTTCAACCTTTTTTAATAAACGTACCCGTGGCAGCCAGGGGGAGGGGGTGGCAGCCGTGTGCAAGCTTCCCCCAGAAGCCCCAACGACTGGCCAGCCCACAGAGGGGCGCCGCTGCCTTTGCCCTTATACGCCCTCCTCCGGCCTTGCTCCTAGGAGGCGGCAGCATGGGTTGGGGGGTGGTAGCGTTCTGTCCCCATCTGCATGTACCCCCTAGGGCAGAGGTGGATAAAATATGGCCCATGGGCCACATCCAGCCCACTCTATCTGGCCCACAGGGCCCCTAAAAAATTTAGAAAATTAATATTTATCTGACCCTGGATGCCTGTCAAAGCTGAGATGAAACAGGGGTAGTAGGACCCAGGGGAAGCCTCAGCAGGATTGAACAGCCATGTGGTGCTTCAGCACCACATGGCTCCCAGTTGCATCCCCAGACTGGGGAGCATGGGGACATGCCGGCAGGGGTGTGTGTGGACAGGCAGGGTTGGGGGGTCGGACAGAGCTGGTGTGTGAGTATGTGTAGGGCAGGCAGGGAAAGTGTGTGTGTGTGGGGGCAAGCAGGGACAGTGCGCGCGTGTGCGTGTATGTAGGCAGGGGCAGTGTGTGTTTGTAGGTGGGTGGGGGGCAGGCAGGGACAGTGCGTGTGTGTATGCAGGCAAGGACATTGTGTGCACGGGCAGGCAGGGACAGTGTGTGTGTGTGTGTGTGTGTGTGTGTGTGTGTGTTCATGAGTCCCACACACACCCCCATCATACATATGTACCCACACCCCCTTGCAGTGCCATACATGCAGACCCCTCATCCCCTCACCCCAGGCACCAATTCCCCCACAAACCCCATACCCACTCACACCCCACATATCCACACATACACCCACATGCTGTCTCACCCCACATACCCACAGCCTCCCACAATATACAAGAGTAAGACTTCATTTTAAGCTATTGTGCAATCACCTCTATATACACTACACAAACACATATAAATCAGGACAATGACTTTTTAAAAATCAAATTAATGAGTGCTGTAGATGTTTGCTTTTTAGAATATAATTTATTTTTCTGGTTCTAAGATGGCAAAGCCCCTTGCTGAAAGGAGTACTTCCAGAGGCAAAGGGAGGGAATTCTGGTGTCAAAGGTCAGGAGTTAGGGGGCGGGACTTAAGGTCACAAGATGGCAACCAGGGGGCAGTGCATCTGTCAAGGGGCGAGGCTACCAATGCGGCCCTCGACAGCTTGCCAAAACTTGGTATGCAACCCTCCACCCAAAATAATTGCCCACCCCTGCCCTAGGGCCTTCCCGCATACCCCCAGTTGACAACCCCTTAGTTAAGAGATGGATTTAATTGGTAAGGCATATAAAAGAGTAAGACCTATTTCTACCTTATGTGTACAAAGCAGACTTTTTAATATCCAAATGAAAAAAAACAAATCTTTTAGTGATGTGACATCTGCTGACTGTCAATTTTTTATTCTTCAAAGTTGCTTTTCAAGGCTTTGTTAACTTCATACTTGTGGGAAGGATTTTCTTTAACAAAATCAGACTCATTTCACCAAGTTAGGAAGTGCTCTATTTGATGAGTTGCTTAAACAACTCATTAACCACTCCACTCCTAATGAAAAAGTGCCAGCCACTGACAAAAATGTTTAATGAAAATGAAAAACTTTTAAATTAAGAAAAACATTGATGTTAATTTTAAATACAAAATATTTTTGTTAAAGACACTACAAATAAAGCAATCTTCAAACCATTTTAAACCAGTATTTTCAAATACTTCTTCAGTCCACAGAGATGCCCAGATATCAAAATGAGCATATACATTATTTTTAAACAAATATTGACAAGTGTTGCTTGCATGCACCAGATTCCCTGAAAAATGAGGGAAAAATGATTAAGTTCCGGTAAATTAACAAATACTTTAATTACAAAATTGGACAAATTAAAATCTAAGTTTTCTCCACAATCTTTATATTTAGACATTTTAAAATTAATTTTGTACCTTTAACTACTAATCCTGATGCATTCTTTTTATTGCATGTATTATGTCCAAATTGAGAGTAATGTTTATAATGCAAAAACTTCTTCATCAACATCAGCAGTTCACAATACCAAAATGGCCTCATGATCTTTAAGGAGATGAGCAGGATTATCCAAGTCCGAGTACAGTATCATTTTGTGGAGTACCCTCATAACAGTAAAATTGGGAAACATACAGGGGGGGTTGCCAACCAGTGGATAGAGGAGGTACTGGACAGGAAGCCTGAACAAAGACCTCACTTGGAACAAAAATACTGGAATCTTTCTGTTGGCTTTCAATGCAAACACATCTCAGGTAACTCTAAGCCCCGAAAAAAGGGCTGGAGAACAGAAAACTTTTTCTACTTGCAATATAGGGAAATGGTCTATTCAGATGGCCTGCCTGGGCTTTCTGGAGATCAGGTAACCATATTGTAGGCAAATATATTTGATGCGCCAGTGCCACAGACAGATTACTTCCCTACCCCGGTGAGTGGATTTTGCTCTACCCTGCCTGTTGGTGATATTGTCTATCATGATCCAAGCAAAGGGCTTCCAAATATGGTGGAGGAAGGAATATAACCATCCTGAGCATTAATGTACTTTAATAAAGCCTTAGCTCCTATAGCACCCAGAGGGACTGGGTGCACATGACATATAGCTAAAGCAAGAAGTCTCTAGTAGCAATTCTAAAGTACTTACCCATGCTGAAGATGCTTTAGTGGACAGCCACCCAAAGGAGAACCAGATTTTTTGGATGCATAAAAACAAGTGCCTTTGAAAAATCTGGTCCTAAATTCAAACCTGTATAACTAATTCTATAATTAATTACTTACTTTGTTAAAACCTCTTCTGGGACCTTCCTTGAGGTCTTCCCAAATCCTTTTCGATTTCTTTTTTAAGCTTAAATTGTTTATATCTTTCTGCCATTGAAATGAGCTCTTCTGGAACCGCCTGATAATTAGGAGGTAATGTTAGAAATTTGGTAATAAATAATTCTCTAAACTTTCCAGTCATGCCCACAAAATGAATAATTTTAGTGATTATCCAAATTGCTGCCTCTTATTCATATGACTTCTATCATCTGTAAGCTGAATAGCATATCAGCACACCAACACAAAGGCAAACAAAGAAAAAAACAAAAACACCACCCTTTTTACCTTGTTATTATTTCTTTAACACTTAGAAATCCAATGACCTTGGACTTCTAAGAGTAGAATAAACATAATGGTTATGGTGCTTTAAACAACTTTAAAGATGCTATAACAACAGCAACAATAGTAATAATAATATTAAGTGGTACAAAGTGCTCTATTATGACAAACTGTTTCAAACTGAATAAAAATGACCTTGAATAACGAAGAAGTGCTTCTGTGTAACACCTCAGCTGGGGAAACAGTTATATACATCTGTACTGAAGGACTACATATTAAAAGCACTTAAAAATTATTTGACGTTCTTTCTATATTTTTCTGCCCATATCCTAACAACTACGAATGCACTGATATTATTGTACCTTCAGCTAAAAAAAAAAAAAAAAAAAGATGTAAAGATATTTTTAGTTTAGGTCAGAGATAAACTGAGGGGGAAAAAAACTTATCAGTAACAGGTATAACACTAAAATACATTAAGATTTAATCCTATGCCATTTATTTCAATGTTAAGCCACTTCAGTTCTGCTACTACAATTTTGAACTTTTAATTTAGGTTACTTAATTTTCTCATTCTTATTTGATAATACTTTAATTAAAATGTTTTAAATATAAATTTATTCTTTAAGGATTTCTCATCTAAAATAGGCTCTAGCATCAGTTCACTATATAGTTCACTGAAAACTGGGGATGAAATTTGGTTTTATGGCTCGTTACAGTCTACCAGCTACTTCCGCTAATTCTCCTGCACTCCACGGATAATAATGACCCTTTTCCCTGTTGAATGGCCCTCTTCTACTAATTAGTAGTCCATTCTACTGCACTTTTATCTTGTAAAGAGGAGCCACCCTCTGCTCCTACTTTATAGCACTGCTCCAATTCCTCTAAGCAGAATTTTTCATTTACTTTTCTCTCAATTACAAAGTTGGTCCAAGAAAGGCATCACAAAGACCAAAATATAAGCGTCTTACAGTGCTTCCCAAAGATGTCTAAAAGCTTAACTTCCTGCACACAATAAGCAGAGATGTGGAAGCAGACATCTTGCTGACTGAGTTACAAAGTAGTGGTGTGCATTGTGATAAAAGACCAGGGCTGTCATATTTACTTGAATACAAGATAAGGTTTTTTCTCGCCAATTGAAATGGGGAAGAGAGCTCCTTATCTTATAATCACATACAAGAACAACATTTTACTAAATACACTTTCATTAAACTGCTGCCAAAAGCTTTTTTTGGGGGGTGGGGGAGTTAAAAAATAACTGAATTAAACATCCTTTCTTCTGCACTTCAGTAGGAACTTATTCCAACAAGTGAAACTGCTTCTCAAGTTCTCTCTCATAAGGCTGATCTCTGAATAGGTATAAGGAAAAATGGGAGGGAGATAAGAGTACCCCCACATTGAGGTTCTCTCTAAAATATACCAGTCAGTTATGAGGTTCCAGCCTTTTCTCGAAAAATAAGTGGTCCCCAAAATGGGAAGGGAGTAGTGAAGCTCACTGCATAAGACTGTTTATGACCAAAATGTAAAAAATGAGGTGGATACAGCAGGATAACTAATCCAAATACTACTCTTTTAGAGCTACTACATCTTCCTTGGATCTGTATTGCTATTTTACAGCCTTCCATTTCCTTTTAGGGGACAGCAGCCACACTCCAACCTCCCAGCCATACTCAGGTCATTAGCAAATACAGAGCATCATCCATTTTTTTTGCTACTAAGAGTCCAGAGCTTTCAAAAAGGGTATCTAATTATTCCTTACACCTATTATGATATTTGAAAGCCTGTAGCCATGACCCTAGAGTACAGTAAGTTACCATGGAGCAGGAGTGGGCAATTATTTCAGGCAGCAGGTCGCTTACTGAGTTTTGGCAAGCCATCGAGGGCTGCATGACAGGCACCCAGGGGCAGATGAATATTAATTTTCTAAATTTTTTAGGGGCCCCACGGGCCGGATAGAATGGCCTAGCAGGCTGCATCCGGCTGCACATGGCCCACATTTTGCCCACCCCTTTCATGCAGCCTGGTTGTGTATCAAATTGCAACTAAAGTGACTTGGAGAGATGCTCTGGCTAACCAGCTGCCACTCAAACAACTGACTCTGTAGGCTGAAGAATGATTGAGATAAATTTCTCCTGAATGAATTGAGTTGCTTCAGTTCTCTATCTTTTGTAGTAACTTTTGATTGTTGCTGTTTCTTAAGGGCTATGGTAAACACAAACAACATAATATACTCCAGGCCTAGCTGACTAATAGGTAGTAACTTGAAATAATGGGAACTCTCCTGTACTACTTTCACAGGGATCTCCAGATCTTTTATGTAGACAAGCAAGTCTTAAAAACTTTTATAATCATCTGGTTGAGAGGTGGCTGAAGACACCACTGCTTGTTCTGGGAATTGAGAGGAAATGACTATCAATATAGTTTGATCTACCATGATTTCTTAGAATGGCTCCTTTTGGTGCTCAAAACACTGTAGTGCATCTTAAGCTGCTAAAGTCACGTAAGCCTTAAGATATAGAAGAAGCTATCCCAATACAAGAGGAGCTGTAGAAATTTGTGTGCTCTAAGTGCCAGTGGTTCTAGTAGGGCCATCAGTGCATATTTTAAGGAAAAGGCCTGAGGCCAAGGTGGAGGGTATCAAGAATTGTGGTATCTGTAATCCCTAAACAACTGTACAAAGAAGATTCTGAAGTCTGAGCCATAAGGATCATGAATGAGACTCTGACGGAAAATTCAGGAGACTTGTTTGATGCTCTGGAGGAAAACCATTCCTCATCCAGAGGGACTATCATGGATTTGTCCCCAAATGCAGTCTGATACCTGAATGACACCAAAGCAGTGATAGGTGGTACCATAGTGAAGACATAAGCTTGAAGGACAGCAGTAGTGGCTGGCTCAGCTAATGCTTGCAAGTCTCCCAGAACTGTAAGGATATCACTACTGAGAAGTACAACCATGAGAAGTAGAGGTGTTAAGGAACTGATAAAAGGTTGTGTCTGCCCTTTATATCACTGAATGAGGAATAGGCACGTACATAAAAATGTGTATGGACAAGTGTTCATAGAAATCTAAGAAAAATGTTTCCAACTATTTAGCTGGTCTAATAAAAGATATCAGATTTACCCAAAGAACCTTGTCTGCCATAGAAATCAAATGCTTTCAAAAAAACCTGACCGCTTCCCAGTATAATCCTTTTCCCCTGCTCATCTCATCTACTTAACATTTGCTTTTCTTTGGAATGCTGAGGGTCTTGAGCAAAGTTAGATGCAGTTATATTGGTAACAGTCTCTAGATTTTTGTCTGCTTTTAACAACTGAGGGACAGCATCAATACCGGAATGAGGCATACTGACAGAGCGCTTCTGCGGTTTTCATGAAGCAAATAGTGGTCTGCTATGATGAAGTGGCACAAATTGATATCACCTTTGTTCCTGCCACAAATTTTGAGTATTTGTGGTGTGACAAGACATAAGGATGTCTGTTTGGGCTTTGTGCCACCATGATAAATTTTACAGCAGCACAAAAGCAACATGTTTCCACTTGTTGTGCCAATGGCAACAGAAACTGGTGTGCCTTAACCATATGAATCCAAAGGGCCACTAAACTCATATGGCCCTTTGATTTGACCATGCCTGTATATTCAAACCAGGGGTATTTAACATAAGGAAGGCCTAACCTCTGTTTATGTGCAACATACTCTTGGTCAAGGAAGCCCTTACACCTTTGGAGACTATTTCATATGGAATTTAAAAGCAAGTGTGATGTGTATCTTGTCCTGCTAAACGACATTCTTACCTGATTTGCTCTTTCCAGAATGTCAATCAGTTCAGATGCAATCCTCCAGTCATTCCTAGTGACAAGTGTAACAGCCTCCCCTGTGCGTCTAAGGAAAAGAATAGTCTTATTCTTCAATAAAAAAGAAAAATCTAAGTTGCTGGGCTTTCTCTACCAATCTAAAACACTAACAAAATTGACTTCAAATGATACTACTGTGTCTGTAGTTAAAAGCAAGTCAGAGAGTATTTGATACCTAACCTTTTTAAAGGAAACTGGAATGGAGAACTTCCATTAAATGGAACAAAGCCCTAAGTGAATCAATTCAAGTGCAAGGAAAGAAAAACTATGATACAAAGGATCCTGATCTCAGAAATCATTTTGCAACGTGTAAATTAAATGATCATACACGCACATGCACTCTGAGTCCAGTTTACTGCACTGCATTTATATGGCCTTCCCAATATAGAACAAGTATTAACTGGAAGGTCTTTTAGAAAATCAACATTAAAAATGTTAAAGCAAATTTAAGTCAGTGCAAAATGAAACCAGGAGAAGTGAATACACCCATATTGCACAATCAGCCTACCTATTTGTTTCAGTCTAGCATGAGATGGTCTTTTCATGACCCTCTCCCCTCACATTATGCTGACCAAGAACAGAAATAAGTTGTCAGGTGAAGTGGTTGCATAAAGTGACAATGGCTAGGAGTCAAACATAGTAACTGGATACTTAGGCAAACTCTTGTGGATACCACAACCCAGCATCCATGCTACTGTTGTTAACAGAACAACTTCTACTAATGCTGCATGAGATCAGCCAAAGAAGGAAAGCAGAAAACCTCTTTCAGAAATTTATAATTGCACTCATTACAAAGCAGTTTAGGAACTTTTTGATGCTGCTTATCTCCAGTCTTCAGAATGTAACTATTGTCTATCTTTCCTGTATGGTTTCCTTTTAAGGAATTTGCCCACAGGTTTTTCCAAGTGAAGACTTGTTCCCAAGGCAGAAGACAAGACTTCTCTATAACTCACTCTTACCCAGAATGTTTTTTAATTTCCTAATCTCTCCTATCCAACAACTTAATTGATTGATACTGGATTGATACGCTTCATTTTATCCAAGATGACAAATTATCCTCATGTTACAAATGGAAAAGCTGAGGCACAGATGTTAAGAGACTTCCTAGGTAAAACAGCATATGAATGCCTGAGTTTTGAACAGATGTAGGTTGTAGCCGTGTTGGTCTAAGGACATAACTGACTCCCCAGCCCAGCCCAGCCCAGCCCAGCCCCTGGCTTCTTTACTTTTCATTCCATCCAGGAAGAGCACACACCAACTGCTGAAACTTCCTTAGCCTGACGAAGGGTTTTTGAACTCAAAAGCTTGCTTAATACCTATTCTCCAACTATTTGGGTTGGTCTAATAAAAGATATCAAATTCACCCAAGGAACCTTGTCTGCCTGAGTTTTGAACAGAACTCTCATGATTCCTATTCAGCATTTTATCCAATAAGGCATGCTGGAAGACATGACAACTACTTTCAAACTTTATCTTCTCCTCTTGCTGGAGAATGACATTTGTGAAATGTGTAATATGACCGTACTCTATGAGAATTTAAAGCTAGCCTCCTTTTTCTTAATACTATTGTAAAAACATTTTTTTTTTTACATAGCAAAATGTTTTATTGCACTGACACTTCCACATAGTTCCATAATAGTCTGGGGTCAGAAGAGACCTGAACAGATCATCTAGTCTGACCCCCCCACTGGCAGGAGCACACGCTAGGATCACATGACCCCAGACAGGTGTTCCTGTCTGACCCCCTAGGTGTTCCTAGCCTGACCCCCTGCCACAGGCAGGGATGAATGGTGGGGTCACAAGACCCCAGACAGGCGATTGTCCAACCTCCTCTTGAATTTGCCCAAGGTAGGGGCGAGGACCACTTCCCTAGGAAGTTGGTTCCAGATTTTGGCCACCCTAACTGTAAAAAATTGTCTTTTGCTCTCCAACCTAAACCTATTCTCCATCAGCTTATTACCATTGTTCCTTGTCACCCCAGGTGGTGCTGGGGAGAAAAGAGCTCTGCCTATTTGCTGTTGATCCCCCTTAATGAGCTTGTAGGCAGCCACCAGGTCCCCCCTCAGCCTCCTCTTGCTGAGGCTGAACAGGTTCAGGTCCTTCAGTCTGAATTTACCCAAGGTAGGAGTGAGAATTTACCCAAGGTAGGAGTGAGGACCACTTCCCTAGGAAGTTGGTTCCAGATCCTAGCCACCCTAACAGTGAAACAGTGCCTCCTAATCTCTAACCTGAACCTGTTCTCCAGTTTGGCTCAGATGTGCCCTAATGAACTGAATGCTGGCCCATGAGGGTGTCAGCTGGACACCCGGCCAGATTCAGAGGTATTCTGTTCACCTATGTGCTTGTGTCTGACTGCATTTTATTGTTACCTTAATGAACTGATTCCTGGCATATAAGGGTGTCAGCTTGTATATGCTGATCAACCCAGCCAGGTCAGGCGTGTCATGTTAATGTGTGTGCATGTGCGTGCGTGTTTGACTGATTTGGTGCCTGGAGGAACCCAGCGCCACTGAAACTGAGTCCTGCAAGATAGCTCCATTGGGGGTGAGGACTTGCAGAACGGAGAGATACAGCTCCATATAGAAACACAAGTAACACAAGCAGCACATTGACAGGATTACAAAGACCCTAGAAACATATCCCTGATAAATGAGCACACCCCAAAGTGATGGGCAAACCTGGTGACACCTCCCTCCCAGTTCTAGCAGAGAAATCTGCCACAATCACAATGGACAGCAGGCAGAAGACTAAAAAAAAAGGCCTACTAGTGCTGGCCAGATCTTTTTACTATGCCAAGGAGAACCAGAACAGGAAAGGAACTGTGACCTCCTGTCCAAGGGATGCCTCTCTGGAGCAGCTGTCAACCTCAACCAGCCAAGCATGTACTTAAGGAAAAATATTTCTATGTTCATACAAAAGGTTAACCTTTGAAGTCCCACCCAGTCCTATGATCCTATGGCATAGTCTAACACAGTGGTTCTCAACTTTATTGGACTAAAGGCACCCTTCATAGCTTTTGTAAACTGAGCAGTACCCCATCTCAAAAATGATTTATTATAATGCTTACTTCCTTGAAAACAGACTAAGCAGTGAGAGCAGGGGAGTAACCAGACAGGGATGAGCCTGAGTTTATCAGCTTATTTTTTCACACCTGAATCCTCAGTGACATCCTTCAAAGGACCTTGCAGGACTCCACAGTACTCTCAGAACCCTGGTTAAGAATCACTCGTATGACATATTGCAATACAGTATAACCTCATAAATCCGGCATCTTTGGGACCTGGTACCTGCCAGAAATTTGAAAATTCTAGATTTCTGAAACATAAGGAAAGTGCATAGCCTTAGGACAAGTAGCTCTAGGCTGACAAACAAAAACAATGGCAGTCAGAGAAGTGCTAAACTTCCAGAGAAATTTCTGGATTATTGGGAAGCTATTTTTAATGCGCTAATGCAGTGTACTGTATTTTTAAAAAGTGCCAGACTTTTGAGAATTCTGGAATTTTGAAAGATGCATTTATGAGGTTATATTGTATTCTGGACCAAGACACTGAGGGACATGCTGGCTCTGACTGTCAACAAGTTGGCTTCCATATGTATAATCTGGTCATTCAGACTATTCGATCTGAGTATGAGTAAGTCCTGGTAGAGAGGGAGTCAAGGGAATGCCAGCCAATACTTTTGCGCATTTACATCCAAGTACCAATGTCTGAAATATGTACAGAATAGATCTAATGTTCTCCACTACCTGCTGAGACAACTTACCTTCAGCAATCACTCATCTATGAGTAAGCATATTGCAATATTGTTTCTTCATATGTGTACCAGTACTACAGAAAGGACCATTCTGAAGACCCTTGAGGCTGCTGAAAAAGTCTAAAGGCAGGATGTTGTGTTGGTAAGAGTCTTGGTCCAACATGGAACTCAGACACTTTCTATGTGGAGGAGGGAGGATGGTGATGCAGAAATGTGTGTTCTGAATTCAAGAAATATAAACCAGTCTTCTGGTTCCAAGAAAAGAATTATGGTGACCATCATCTCTACCTAGAACTTTACCTTGTGGATGAGCAAATTGAACTCAAGTTAAGGATAGGTTGCCCCACCTTTAATTTTCAGAATCAAGAAGAAAGAACTGGAGAACCCTTTCCCCAAGTGCTGCAGAAGAACTCTCTCTGGACCCTCAAATCAGTAAAAAAGCTTGTTGACATTTTAAGACTTTTAAGAAGAGTTGGGAGTTGGTAGTGAACTGAACTGGAAGGTGTAGACAGCTGTGATGGGGTTTAGAATGCACTGGTTTGTGGTAGTTTGAACCCACAAATAAGTAAAATGGATCAAATAGCTCCTGAAAGGTGGAAAGAGGGGGAAACTGGAAATCCAAAGAGATAAATCACTCCTATGAGTCTTATCAAAAGGCCTAGCTATGGCTGAAACAATGAGTTGATAGGCTTCTGTAAGAGCAGTGTTTCTTTTTCTCAGTGGTGCCAGCGGCCTAAACAAGTTGGAGAATGAGCCAGCAGGCTAGGAAGGAGGTCTGCACTTAAAAACCCTTAACAGTTGTTTGGTTTGAAAATTCTACTGCCTCAACAAAGAGGTCCTTCACCATGTTCTCTTACTTCCTGGAGCTAGTAAGATTTTTTGCATTACTACTGCTGTAGCCAACAAGTAAGATGCTGCTACCACATTCATGGTTGCCTACAGAGGTCTTAATGACCATCAGTCCTTGTTATCAGGGTCAGAAATAGCTCCAAGAGTCAAATCGGAACTTGTCTGTGAAGGAAGCTAAGTTCTCATTCACATTTAAGTCATACTGAGCTAGAAGAGCCTGGTAACTGACCACACCCTATTGAAAACATGGCAAAAGATAGGATTTTCTTCTTGCCAAGAAAAAACAAGCAGAAACATAAAGATGTCTGTAAAGCCCAAACCTGGCAGTCTGCAAGAACAACAGAGGTTCCACCACAAGCCAAAGGTGATCAAAGGGAAACAAGAAGCAGGACACATGCGTCTTTCTTTATGTGCTAACATACTGGACATGAGAAACAGGGCAGTGTACACACTTTCTAGATACTGCTAACACAAGTCTTTGAACTTGAGTACCAGGACCATGTGACTGGACAGCGGAATGTGCATATGACCAAGCACTGTGAGAAATGCCAATTAAATTTTCAAAATCCATCTTGCTTTTTAGTATGACACCTAATTCTTACCCTATCAATTTTTATGTGAAGTAAGAGCAGGGGGGTTGGACTCGATCTTTCAAGGTCCCTTCCAGCCCTTAATTTCTATGATTTTATGAAGAACAGCGGGCAAATTTCTTTATACTACAAAACCATGCTTTTATATATTAGGTAGGCAGAATTTCATACAATAACTATTCATTGTGGAAAGAAGTCGTTCAATGGCACCTAAACTGTAAGCAGCATGGACACACTGTTGCTATAGCTAACTGTGAAATCCTACTTGCAAACATTTACAAATACTATAGGAAGACCAAACACCACAGTACGGTAGGATGAATTTAAAATCAACAAGCAGAAAACCTTAATCTAAATTAATCATTTAAAAATCCTATTCTGCATTTATACTCTTTATTTTCTTTTAAATCAAATAAACATACATTAATTCCTATTGGTTGTTAACAATTAAATATTGATAAATTCATATCGATAAAATATTTACAACTAAATGGAAACCAATTCAACTAGGATGTATGAAACCAGCATTTTAAAAAGTTAAATAAAATTACTTTAAAAGTTCTAGATACATATTTTTTTCTTATCAAAATATTTTTGCATTTAAGATTTAATTAAAAGGAAGTACAATCTAGTCTTAGTTAACTGAACCAAATGTTTCCTATCACCATGTTTTTCAGTATTTGAACTATTAGACATCTTCCATTTTTGCCTTCTTTTGATTCATGGCTTAGAAGAAGAAAATAAGCTTTTCTACTCCCCCAGCCTAAATTTCCAATTATTTTCCCAAGTCCATATGAAAACTTCACTGAACTAAACTAGCTCAATAAACTGAAACAAATAAAATACTCTTTGCTTATAGAAGAGGCTTTTTCTGCCAAGACTTGGCTTAGCATTTTAAACCATGGCTGCAGGTGTTTAGCCAATGAATGCCACCATTTCAACAGTGCAACTTTCTTTAAAATCATCAGCAGCAAACATATTTTTGCTGTATAAACTTACAGCAGCAGGACACTTGCTGCCACTGTCCCCCTACTTTACTGGTGACAGGTTAGGGTGTTACATGGTTGAGCAACAAGGGCGACCAGGCAGTTTTAGTAAGAGGTTAGACAAGGATTTTTCTAGGATGGTTTGGATAGGGATGATCCTACCTCAAGCAAAGGGTTAGATCGGATGTCTTCCAGAGGTCCCTTTCAGCCCTACTTTTCTATGATTCCATGAATTCTTAAAACATTTAATTTAAAATAATCTGTATTATTAAGGCCTAAACTTGTCATTATCAAACAACAAATCTTTTAAAATTTGAAATGAAAAATGTACATTAAAACAAAAAGAGTGTAACAGTATCCCCTTCTGCAATCTAGTGTTTACAGACTCTGAACACCAGAAAGCTACACTGCAGTTGTAAAATGAAAATTTGGAATCTAAAGTGTGCCTTTGGACAAATTTGAAAGAGCCAACTGATGGAGAATTTTATATAGTAACTTATAAAGGAAATAGGGGAAAAAAATATTAAACAAGTAAGTATTGTTTTAGAACAGGGCTGTCAAACATACAGCTCGCAGAGGCCTGTGGTGTTACTTGTGGGCCTCAGACTGGACTCATGCCATATGCAGCATGTGACAGATTGGCTCCAAGTGCTGCACACACCACCTACATCTGACCAGCCCTAATCTGGCTCACAGACTGGGCCTATGTTACTCATCTAGCCAGTGAGGCCTTATTAATTTGACACCCCTGTTCTAGAACATCTGTATTGTAAACTTTTCTAAGTTAGGATATTACAATTGCTTAAACCTATTTTCAAGTATTCCCCACAAGTAGGCAATTGCCAGAAAACCCAAATATTGGCTTGTCTTTAAAAAAAACAAAAAAGAAAAAGAGGTACTATAGTTGATTTTAATAACACACAATACCAAAACCCAGAATGATTCTATTTGAAATTCATTGTTATACACATCTTACCATAGAAGCAGTTTCTACTCACATTGTATCAACACTAAAAACTTACATTAACTCTTGTCTTAACTCTAAAGAGAGAAAATACTAATATTCCAAGGAGCAGTTATGACATCTTAAAACGAAGAGAGATCACCTGTTTTCTTAAGCACTTACCCTGCTCGTCCAGTACGACCTACTCTGTGAACATACTCTTCAATGTTCCGTGGGAAATCAAAATTAAAAACATGAGTAACATCATGTACATCAAGTCCACGAGACGCTAGATCTGTAGCTATCAGTATTCTGACTTTTCCTGAAGTAAATACAAAAGAAAAATAGTCCCGTAATTCACAAAACAAAGAAAATATGCACTAATTTAAAACTTTTCTATTGTATAAATAAAATCTTGTTAAATACTTAAAAACTACCTCCTACCTACTTAAAACCCACCTACTACCAATGATATGTTGTTTTTATTCTCTTAACTCCTGAAATAAGAAAGTACCATTATCCCCATTTTTTAAGATGGGGAAATGAGGCAAGGAAAAGGGTGATGTTCTGTTATTCCATCCAGTACATATCCAGAGGGAGTATCTGTGTGTCTAGACCAGTGTTTCCCAACCTTCTTCAGTTCAAGGCACACTTACATTCATAAAAAATGTCTGTGGCATGCCTGTTAAGGCATTCCCCCATCCCTATACTTATGAGTTCATTGCCACGGCAAAAATTCCATGGCACACCTGTTAGTTTCCGACGGCACACCCTCATGCTGTGGCACACTGGTTGGAAAACACTGATCTAGACCAAGTTGGGGAGGGGGGGTGTCAAACTCACCTTGGGCCCCAGACCAGATCTAGACTGCAAGACTACTTAGGGGCCACATACAGTTCAAGGCACACAGCAACAGCAGCTCCAGCTCTGACCTGGGGCACAGGACAACAGCAGCTCCAGATGCCACCATTGTGTGCTCCGTGCTGTACCGGCAACACCAGCTCTGGCATGGGGTATGTGACTGCTGGCCAAGGAGTTGGGAGCCATGGTAATGACAACAGGAGAAACAGCTGCAGGCCGACTGGGACTTGATCAACCTTCACTTGCTCTGCCACCGGCTGCCATGCTCACCAGGGCCCAAGGGCCCCAGGTTCTAAAGCAGGCCACTTCCCCCTGGCATCATCCCCACTGGACAAGACACAGCAACTCCACAAGCTGGATCCAGCCCACAGGCCATACACTTGACACCCCTAACCTAGATTTTTTTTTTTTTTTAACAACGTCTAACTGGCCGCAGGGTGGATGTGAAAGTACTGCCCCTTCAGAGCTTTTCCTCACACGCTGCTAGCTCTTTGTAGCATACCCAGCAGCACCTTGCACATATGGAGCTGCACAAAGCCATACAACTCTTAGGAATCTCTCACATGCACAAAAGATAAATTGCCTTTGTTAAGCATCCAAGTTGGCTGGAGCCAAAAACAGCTCTGAAGGGGGTGGGCAGGATGCGAGGGAGGGGGGTTGGTTTGCTGTGGGAGACAGATGGTTGTTTGTTTCAGGGCTAAAAATAGCCCCTGACCCCCCACAGATCCGACTTGCCTCCCTGATCCCTTCAACCCTGTCACAGACCCCACTAGACCCCTGCAGACCCCAATGCCCCCCCACCCCTCCCATCCTAGCTTATTTTAAATCAGGCGGCCATTTTTAACTCAATTTAACCTCCTCGAATGCGCCCTAACTTAGCTGTGTGATTGGGATCTCGCTCATTTTTCTGGTGATCCCCCAAAGCCCAAGTCTTGCCATACCAGGGACAATTACCACACATTCAATAAAAGATATGATACAAAGCAGCCACAAAGATATTCTACACTATGTTGGAACATCTTTACAACTAGCTTGCTAGTCTATTGAACCATAAACATGTCTACCAGGGTATTGTTTGTTCATGTTTAACACTGAACCTTTTTTTTTTTCACTCTAAAATATTATAAAAAGCAACGAAATACTGAATAGATATTAAATTTTATACAGTACACATTAAAAATGGTTGGCGCTGCAGAACTGTATTAAAATATAAACTCACCTTTCTTGAAGTCATTCAAAGCTTGTTCTCGATCACACTGTTCTCTGTTGCCATGAAGAGACTGAACAGGTATTCCCTGGAGACTGAAGTCACTTGATAAGTCATCAGCTCTAAAATAAAACAGAAATAAGTAGTTGAAGAAACTTAGAAAGGTACCTATAAGTAGTTTTTATATATGAAAGAACAAACTTCTAACAAATAGGCATTCATGTCTTTACACATAACTATAATAGACTTTTATGCAAGCTAAGAATGCACTCGTTATGCCAGTAAATGTTTGGCTCAGCTAAGCTAGAAATGGTTCTGGACATATGCAGTACCTCATCTTTAGGCTTCTGAGTCAGTTTCTGTCAGAAAAATATTAGGTGTCCATGGCATCTAAGGTGCATGTTTTGGCAGGGATTTTGTGGATCGTTCGCCTGAATTCTGCCTGAAGTGAAGTTAAGGAATCAGAACGTGTGGTAGAGGCGATATCTTTTATTACACCAACTAGATGTTTGCAAAAAAATTTCTTTATTTGCAAGCTTTCGGGCGCATGCACCCTTCTTCAGGCATAGAAGAAAAGACTGTAAAAGTTCTCCTAGGTAGAAATGAAAGTTCATATTTCATAGGTGAATTATAGGTCTGATAAAATCTCCTGTTTGGAACAGTTCATTTTATGCAGATTAGGCTCAGAGAAAACTTGGAACAGTCTGTTTACTTCGGAGTTTTTGGTAGCAAGCAGGATGTAGAGTCGTATTTTCTCCTGGTTATGTTGTTTCATATTTCACAGAAGAGTACAAAGATAAAATGCTTTTCTGGGCAGGAATTTATGGTGTGTATACATGTACTAACTTTCTGAAAGTTAAGACGATTTAAACTGAAGTTGAATTAACTGTCAGAGCTTACACACATATGTGGAGCAGAGTCAACTTAAATGCAGTGCAAGATAATACACCTCCAAGGTTAGGAGGAGATTAATGTGTTTTAATCTCCCCCTAACCTACAAGGTGTATTATCTTGAGTTGCATTAGTTAAGTCGATATAGCTCACAAGATGGCTGCCACTATGTCAAGGAGCTGCATGCGTGTATGCTCTAACGCGACTTAAATTAAGTCGACTTAGTGTGTGTGTGTATGCATCCCTAAGTCTTTTTTTGTAACTGATCTTTAGTTTTTGGGCCTTTTTTTAATCTTTGTGGAAAGTGATACTTTTACACATAAGCCAAATTATTACAACACACTGAAAGAAATAAAAATTATCCTAAAGAGACTAAGATTAAATAATTTAGAGAGGGACCTTTATGTACTTTTATATGAGAAGAACAAACCTTGAACAAATAAGCATTCATGTCCTTCATGCAACTATAACATACAACAGACTTTTATCCAAGCTAAGAAGGTATTCATTGTAACAGTACTGGGAACGAGCACTGAAAAACATGTTAGGTAAGCTCTTTAGAATGTCAATACCAGAACGCTAATTCACTTCACATTGCCTACAACTCTGAAACCTAATTAGCGAGTGACTGTAGTTATCTGCATTGTCTCTGCCACAGTAGCATTTTAAAACCTCCAAAATATTAAATTAGTTTTTTTACAATAGCTCTGCAATACAGGAAAAAGTATACTTACTTTGTAAGTATAGAAAATGAGGAAAAAGTCCAGAATTTCACTCTCAAACTCAAGAACTAACCACAATACTGTCCTTAATTGCTTATCTTTACTTTCGAATTTCACAGATTCTGCATCCTTAACAGCTCAAAAGCAAGCTAATAATCCCAAACCTATTTAATTTAATATTTTTCTACTTTTGGTACACATGTAATAGCTTCCACGAGGCTTTACTGGGTGAAAATGCTCATTTGGACCAGCATATACACAAAGAGATTTTGTGCAACGTTCCTCAAGCACATTTTGTAAAAAGCTTTTTTACATTTTAGCTTGAGGATTACTATGCTTTTGTTTCCAGTAGTTTAACATGAATTTGCAAATGACTAAAAACCAGCACCTATGCAGATTTATAGGAAGTACTACTGAAGTAGTTTAAACAATTTTGTTCGTCTCACCTTCCAGGAAATAGGCTGCTGCAACGAGAAGTGACAGTGACACTGGCTAAGGAGATAAGACTGCTGGATTTAAAGTGTTCCAATGGGTTTTTTGAGCAGTTCAAGAAATACAGTATTATGCTTAGAGCCACAGCAGAAGAAGCTATCAGAGTTGCTTGCTATGCAGCAGATGAGTGTGCTACAAGATTACCAGTGAAGAGGAAAGGCTACACCCCTGATGATATACCGAACACATATGAAACTGAATAATGGTTTTAACTCTTTCCTGATAGCAAGTTCTGTTTCAAAAACATAGTGTCATGGGGGTGAGTCAAGGATTGTTTGTCACTGAATGTACACACGACTACTTAGTGAAAAGTGGCCACTGACTGTTACAGGCCACTAACATCAAAATCCAAGTTTCAAGAACAAAGAAAGCCTTTCGTGACTTACGAGGATGATACGTATAACATCTTGATTGTACTTCCATATAGCTATAAGAAAGGTGCACAGTTGTGCCCCTAACATCAACCTTGATTTGGGTGTCTCTGTGTACAGAACAGTAATTCACAGTATGGTAGTGCTGCTATTCACTCTTTGAATAATACCGTAACACAGTGATTTTCAACCAGGGTGCCATTAGATCCTTTGAAAGATGCCATTAGATGTGAAGTGATAAACACAGGCTCAGGTTCATCCCTGCTTGGCTGTTCCTCTGCTGCAACTGCCTGGCACCTCTCCTCTGCAAGGAGGTAAGCACTGCCGTAAGAAAGTTAAGTTTTTGAAATGGGGTGCTGCTCAGTTTATAAAAGTTATGGAAAGGTGCTCTGAATCTCATGAGGGGGTATCTTGCGTCTAAATCGTTTGAGAACCACTGCCCTAGTGGTGACTTGCAGCACTCACCCAAGCTGAAAATCCAGAGATTTTAACCAACATCTCCCACTGCCTGGAAGAAAGTGACCAAGCCATCAGGCTATAAGCTAAGCAGAGCTAAAAGGAACTACACCCTTCCCTCTTATAGCTGGTCCACTGAGCAGAAAGGAATGCAAGTCAGGGAGCCAGCAAGAACAAGCAAGAGACCTTAACTGTAGGGCGGGGTATATGCTCGAAAATACAGTAATTGTATGAACAACTGGCTTGGTTACTTGTTAATCATGTCTTAAATGTAAGCTCTGCTGGGGGCCCAATACAAAAATCAGGAATGATGGTCAGAAAAATGAGGCTCTAGTATTATATTGCTGATCATCTGAATGTCTGTGAAAATTAAGGAGGGCAAGGCATCTTCCACAGACCTCAAAGAATTTAGAAGAAACTTTGTCAAGAACATGCAATTAGCCATGTCGAAATCAAAAGGAAACACCTCCTACCAGAACTAGTGACTATCAAACTTGGGGAAAAATGGTGTCTAATTAATTTGGGGAACTAAAGCACTTTGGTGAACAGATGCAAGTGCAAATGCTTGGAAGTCAGGGAGAAGAAGAATTTCCATATGGAACAGAATTCTTTAAGTCTTCAAACTTCTTTGACATATGAAGGTCTCCAGGTTAGTATCTGTGGAAATAAAACTTCTTCTGAGGTTTATTTTCCTTTATGGTGTCTTATTTAGAAACTAATATGACCTCTGATACATGAAAATGCTCTTTTTAAAGATGATGATAAAAAGTTGACCTGAAGTTTTTTACTTTTTGCAAGTGTAAGGAAACTCTTGCCATAACAAAAGCAACCCTATCCAAAAATCACAGAACTACACAAATATGTCCAACGTGGACAAAACTCAAAGAGCCTTAAAGTCAGTTTTAAAATACAAAAAAACTTGCATAAACGTAATAATGATATATAATGAAGAAAATATAGTAAGCAACTATAACATTACATTGATTGAATATAATTGCCAAGCTTAGTAATTATGGTCTAAGCACAATGGGACAGTTTTGGTAGAAAAATATATAAAAGTAGTATTACATAACTGATTACATACATAAGTTTCTTTCCAACAAAGATGATGACTTTATCTGTAGGTTTCATAGTATCAATGAAGTACCGTGTAAAAGCTCTCTTTTCTTCTTCTGGGATAACAACAACTTGCTGTTCCACTGTATTTACTGCCTGTGAAATGTGCAAAAGGAAGGTTAAGTAAAAAAAAAAAAAAAATTATTAAAGATATTTAAGTCAAGTTAACTCATTCTTATATTACAACAGGGCTGTCCCAACTTCCAAAGAGCCAGGTCTACACACCCTTTGAACCACACCAGTGAGGACTGAATGCTCAATGGACTATGCAACAGTAAGCCTCTGGCCCTGGGCTGCACAGACACCCGTTACCGCAGTGTGCCACCCCAGCTGTTGTAGCAGTCAGAGCAGGAAGTGGAGCAGGAGACAGATAGGAGCTCGGAGATTGCAACATAAACCCTTGTGAGCTGAATGTAGCCTGTGAGCTCCCAGTTGGGCAACACTGTATTACAGTATTTCAGACCACACATTTCAAAACTGGTATAACTTTATTTAATTTGGAGTTGATACAATGATAGTAAATGTCACCGTGAAATATTTAAACCCCCTTTCCTATGAATCAGCTTTGAGAAGCACCAAAAAGATAAGGATGGTATTTTTCCCTGAACAGATCTAGGAAGAATCAAGTTAACAGCATCTTTCAGAGGGTACAGATCAGGGATAGGCAATTATTTCAACTGGCGGGCCACTTAGGTTTTGGTGAGCTGTCAAGGGCCAAACAAAATCTTTCAGAAGATACCATTTTAACAAATTACAGATAAAAAACAAATCATATACTAAAAATCAAACCTGCTATATTTTATTTTAGAAAATAATTTTTGTCCTGATTTTGAGTAGTGTATATAGATGTGACTGCATAATAGCTCAAAATAAGCCTTGATTTTGTATATTGTGTGAGTTGGGGGGGGGGGGGGGGGGGGTGGGAAGAGAGATGTATGCCTATGTGTGAAAAGTGTGCGTGTGAGGGTGTGTGTGTAGCTATGGAGTGTGGACAGGTTGGGTGCGCATATGTTGGGGGCTGCCCACACACTAGGTCCAAGAAGCCAGGTAGGGGGAGGAGGAGAGAGAGAAGGGGCAGAAGGAAGGGGGGGGGGGCAGGAGGTGTGTGTAGCAGAGGTCACTTGGGCAGTGTGGTGCAGGTGTGGTCAAGCCTGTTCCCTCTCCTCTCCTACTCCCTCCACCAAACCCCTGGTGCTCGGCATGGGGCCAAACCCTGCCCACTCCAGCCTGCGCTGTGCTCCCATCTGCATCTGCCCTGCACTTGTCAATAGCACCACCCTAGCCAGCATTAACAGAGCTTCCCAAAGAGGCTGGTCCCAATGCTGCTGGAGTGCTCGGCTAGCCCACCTCCAGCAGCTCCTCTTCCTCCTCCTTATTCTGCTCCTGCTGCACTCCTCTGGCCACCTTCCTCTGCCTGGCTGCAGCTTTCCCACTGCCTGGAGGAGCACAGCAGGGGCAAGAGGAGGAGCTGCTAGAGGCAGTGGGACCCGAGCAGTACTTGGGCAGCTGCAGCCGCAGGGAGAGCAGCCCTGCCGGGAAGTTGTGTGTACTGGCTGGGGCAGTGCTGCTTGTGGGCACAGGGTGGGTGAGGGCTGGCATGTGGGGTGCAGGCTGTTCCAAGAGGGAACAGGAAGGGCTCAGCCCCATGCAGAGCACCACAGGGGCAGCCTTGGGCTGGATACAATTAATTGGTAGGCCAGACCCAGCCTGCGGGCTGTATTTTGCTCTCCACGGTATAGATTAACATATTACGGGGGTTAAGAAGCCTGCTTACCTTCTTAGCAGGGAATAGGGTAAAAGAGTTTATTCTCATTTAGAACTGTTTTCACATACTTCTGAATACAAAGTTTTCCTTCTGACAAATTTCAAGGGGAAGAAGTACCAAAACCCTAACAATACTGAATTGCTTGTTCACTGGTTTTGTTCAAGAACTCTGCAAAGAAAACTTTTTTCCAACATAGTTGGAGGCTACCATAAAATAACCTATCTGAATATCTGTATTCTATGGTGTTTCACATAGGTGTTTTCATACCATCATAAACTAGGAATCAAAAAAACAATCTTAGAAGAAGCCAAATACAAAGGCTAATTACTTTTTGTAGCACTGATATCTGATTACTGCTCTATCTGGCAACACTGTTGCAGAGGTTAACTTTCCAAGCAAGGAAGGCTCTTGTAAAAGAAGTTGCTTGATCAACAGAACTGTAATAGTGAGCTGAAAAATATCCTGAGGATGTCATGAAACAGTGGAACATAATAATGGATAGAACCAAGTCTTATCCTAAATAACTGAAAAATGAAATCCTTGTCTATGCAGAACTACAGAAAGTGAACCTCATCATGAGGTTTATGCAAGCCAAAGTAAAGGTAAATCAGCATATGCACTGTGAGCTTGGAAAATTTTACACCAAAAAAGTTCTAAAGTTTTTGATTTAAGATAGCAATGAAGATGTTTTAACAGAAAATTTATCATTAGATGAAAAATGAAGTTATAAAGGGCAGATGCCATGGCATCCCAGTGTAATATGGTATCACTGTAATCAGCCAGTTAAAAGACACAACTGCATTACAGAAGCTGCCAGAGAATCTTAGCTAGATAACAGGTAATTAATGCTTCAGACACCAGAAATTAATGGGATTCTTTTGAACAGGCATTCAGCAGAAATTTTCAATAAAGGAGAGGAAGTACATATTTTGCTCTTCGTTTGGGACAAAGAGCAGTCACTTTTATGAAGATAGTATTTGAACTACAGGTGCACCAATACATCGGTCCATATCATATCAGTACCGCTAAAAGGAAAATTGACATTTTCAGCATCAGCATTTTTTTGCCCGATGCAGCCAATAATGTCACCAATACATTCCGTGTGCCCGGCAGCTTGGACAGCAGTGGTAAGTCTGTGGGGGGAAAGCA